AGGGAGGTACTGGCTTCGGTTGTTGCTGTCGATTGTTGTAGTTGTTGTGACGTCGTTGAGTGTGAAACGCGAACTCTGATGTTGTCGTCTTCTTTCTGTGTCGTTCTTCTTGCAGGTCCATGTCTTGCTGCTCGGCGTGAATTTCGGCGCAGAGTGCTGCTTCAGAGATTCTCCCGTGGGCTCGAAGAATGGCTTTGGTGGCGCGCCATTGAGGACCAAGACCGCCAATGATGACCGTCACGAAGGCGTCTTCTGATATTGACCCTCCGCATCGAAGAAGCTTGTCGCGCAATTCGCGACATCGGCTGATATACGCCATCCCCTTTTCTCCTGGTTTCATTTCAACTGTTGTCAGCTGCGCCATTAACCTGCTCTGGTTTACGCTGTCTGTTGCTTGATACAGGCTCTTCAGGTGGCTGTACGCGAGCTCAGCGGAGTTGCCGTAACCCCGGTAAGAGCGTATGTTCTGCTGCTGAGTTGGCGTGACGTTCCTCAGCAGAATTGTATACGCCATCATTGATTGATACGTGTACTGCTGTTTCTCATACTGTGTGCCATTTACTGGGTATTGCAGGGACCCGTCGAAGAAGCCAAGTATCTGCGCGCCCTCCATCATCAGCTCGAACTCGAATGACCAGGTGAAGAAGTCCTTTCCGTCGAAAGGTCTTGACGTTTGCAGCTTCAAAACGTGCACGAACTGTGATTGCACTTGTAACGCGTCCAGTGGCTTGTCTTGTGCAGGTGAAGGTTGCGGCATGAAGCTGATCGACCCGCGCTCGTACGGGGCGAAGGTGTCAGATTATGTTATTTGTCTAGCCTGCAGTGGGGTGCTCAATAGTGAGTACAACCCCTTAGGGTTTCCTATATGTATCCTGCTGCTTGCTAGTTCACATCATCATTCCCATTCTCACTTCTCCAATTCTCCTTCGTATACCACAAACCCTAGTCCTAGGGCACAACCTACTACCTCCTACTGTGGCCTAGGCTACTAAGCCTAGGCCACGCTCCTATTCTTCCTGACATGGTATCTAGAGCGGGCAAGATCCTGCTGCCTAGCTCAACGGGCCCACCAACTGCTTCCGCTGCCCTACTGTTCGCCGCGCGCTCCGTGGTGCGCGGCACTGGATTTTTCTTCCCGCCACGCGCTTCGAGCGTGTGGCGGCTTATTCTACCCGCCGCGCGCTCGGGGCGCGCGGCGGTTATCCCGTCCGTCGAGGCGCCCTCCGGGGGGCCTGCGTGCTGCTCCCTGCCGTCGCATGGCGCGGCGCCTTCAGGGGGCCCGCCCCTGCTCGTCGCGGCGCCCCCCCCTGGGTGCCGCTCCTACTCGTCGCGACGCCCCTGCGGGACCCGCGCGGCGTCGCCCTGCTCGTCGCGACACCTCTGCGGGACCCGCGCGGCGTCGCCCCTACACGACGCGACGCCCCCTGGGCGCCGTCACTGGTCGTCGCGGCGCCTTCCGGGGGCCCGCCTGCTGCTCTCCCCCCGTCGCCCGTCGCTCGCGACACCGCCCCTGCAGCAGCTCGCGACGCCGCCCCTGCAACAGCGCGCGAGCCGCCCCTGCGCCAGCGCCATCGCTCCTGGAGCGGCCACCCCTGGTGCAGCCGCCCCTGGACTCGCCACCCCGCCCCTGGAGCCGCCGCCCCTGGTGCAGCCGCCCCTGGACCCGCGACGCCGCCCCTGGAGCAGCCGCCCCTGGTGCAGCCGCCCCTGGACCTGCGCCGTCGCCCAGGGAGCAGCCGCCCCTGGTGCAGCCGCCCCTGGACCTGCGCCGCCGCCCCTGGAGCAGCCGCCCCTGGTGCAGCCGCCCCTGTACCCGCGACGCCGCCCGTGGAGCAGCCGCCCCTGGTGCAGCCGCCCCTGGACCTGCGCCGCCGCCCCTGGAGCAGCCGCCCCTGTACCCGCGACGCCGCCCGTGGAGCAGCCGCCCCTGGTGCAGCCGCCCCTAGAACCTCAGTCGTCGCCCCTGGAGCAACCGCACCAGCAGCAGCCGACCATGCAGCTGCCCGCGACGCCGCTCCTGGACCCTGTGCAGTCGCGCTCAGTCTCACTCGCGCCCTCGTGCGCCCTACCCTACCTGCTCCGCGCTGTTGCTCTGCACGCGCGGTTGCCCGCGCCCTCGTGCGCCCTACCCTACCTGCTCCGCGCTGTTGCTCTGCACGCGCGGTTGCCCGCGCCCTCGTGCGCCCTACCCTACCTGCTCCGCGCTGTTGCTCTGCACGCGCGGTTGCCCGCGCCCTCGTGCGCCCTACCCTACCTGCTCCGCGCTGTTGCTCTGCACGCGCGGTTGCCCGCGCCCTCGTGCGCCCTACCCTACCTGCTCCGCGCTGTTGCTCTGCACGCGCGGTTGCCCGCGCCCTCGTGCGCCCTACCCTACCTGCTCCGCGCTGTTGCTCTGCACGCGCGGTTGCCCGCGCCCTCGTGCGCCCTACCCTACCTGCTCCGCGCTGTTGCTCTGCACGCGCGGTTGCCCGCGCCCTCGTGCGCCCTACCCTACCTGCTCCGCGCTGTTGCTCTGCACGCGCGGTTGCCCGCGCCCTCGTGCGCCCTACCCTACCTGCTCCGCGCTGTTGCTCTGCACGCGCGGTTGCCCGCGCCCTCGTGCGCCCTACCCTACCTGCTCCGCGCTGTTGCTCTGCACGCGCGGTTGCCCGCGCCCTCGTGCGCTCTCCCGCCCCGGCCCTCCCCCCCCCCCCCCCCCCTGCGTCCCCTGGACAGGAGGGTGTGGGGGTGGCGGGTGTGGGGGTGCTCCTTGTGCGTCGCCCCTACCTTCTCCTCCGTCTCCCACTGCTGCAGCTGCCGCTGCGGGGGGGTGGATGTGTGGGAGACGAGGGAGTGGTGCTAACGGGGTGATGTGGGCGAGAAGCGAGTGGTGACACTGGGGGTGAGTGTAGGGGGGAGTGAGACAGTTGGAGGAGGTTGCAACCTGGTGCTCCTGGTGCCCGTGTGTCTGCAACTTCAGTCGTCGCCTCCTCTCTTCTCTCCCTCCACAGTTCCTCCTCCTCCTCACTGGCCTCCTGTGACTGCCACTAGCTTTGCTGATAATTGTGAACTATTGCTGTGACTTCTCACGTGTGCTGATTACACCCCACTTTGGCTATGGGGGTGTGTCAGATTATGTTATTTGTCTAGCCTGCAGTGGGGTGCTCAATAGTGAGTACAACCCCTTAGGGTTTCCTATATGTATCCTGCTGCTTGCTAGTTCACATCATCATTCCCATTCTCACTTCTCCAATTCTCCTTCGTATACCACAAACCCTAGTCCTAGGGCACAACCTACTACCTCCTACTGTGGCCTAGGCTACTAAGCCTAGGCCACGCTCCTATTCTTCCTGACAGAAGGTAGGTTGCTGCTGTTGGTTTCCGCGCGCATATGACGACCCGTCGAGGCTCATGGGCGTCGCTCCGTTGTTGCTGTTGTGTGTCTGTGCAGGTCCCGATTGCTGGTGCTGCTCGTAGAAGGACATGAAGGAGAAAAATTTCTCCATCATGCTCTGGTCGAAATTGGTGGGGTGGTTTGTGGGAGTCTCAGTAGATGTCACCCTTGGTCTTGTTGCCGTGCCCTCCTCTGTCTGCAGGCCAGAGGCAGGAGGTGGAGTAGGAGTAGTGCCCGGGGAGCCGTTAGAGGAGCTCCTTTCCTTGTTTGTTGCCATGTCTTGTAATGTTCCTGATGATTTGATAGTGGCAGAGTTCCCCTGTGAGCTCTCATACCATGTTGGGCTGAGATAGCCCCTTAGGATCTTTTCAGGGGAGAACTCTGGGTAGGACAATTGTAATAGCGGAAGCTTTTAGTGAAGAGATTGTGAACCACCTTGCGCTAGTATGTGAGGGCAAAGTAGATTGATTATAACAAGAAAGTATAAGATTATATAATAATGCAGGGAATATCAAAGGATACAGTTATAACTACTTTTACTGTTGCTGTTGCGGTTCGATACAGTACGACTCGGGCAACTGCTCTGTAACGAGTCAGTTGTGTGTCCTTAACTGTCGCGCTGTACTTGTCAGGTCAAAGGTCGCTTGACCTTTGACTTTCGCGTAACCTCTAGCAACCTCTCAACCTCCGAGGGTTGACTCGCGGGTGCTTCGGTATGATTCGTCTCGCTTCTGGTGCGGTGTTTCGACACGACAGAGGCGCTTATGATTCATTGTTTCCAACATCCGTTAGGACAAAAAAATAACGTGTGTTCCACGTGCTCCTTATAGGATGCTGGCAGGCCCCACGATATCAGGGCAAAACATCCTGATTACCCTGATTTCAGGATAGTGTCAGGTGTTTTCCCTGCAATTTCAGGATGATGGTATATTTTACCCTGTCACATCAGGATATTTTCTGTGTTGAGCCCTGAAATTTTAGGAAGGCCGTGAGATTTTGCCCTGAAGCATCATGACGAAGGTAGAGGACTGCCCTGACTCGTATGCAGAAGGGGAAGGGGTGTGGGGGGGGGGATGGGGGAGAGGGGGGAAGGGGCAAAGGGGTGTGTGTACTGGTTTTGTCTCCTCCCGAGAATTTCGCCACTTCCTCATCGTACCTTACCATGCATGCACCGGGCTTCTGAGTCATATCGTGCCTTCCCCTCCACCTCTCTCATGTGTTGTGATTTTTTTGCCCTGTGAGATCAGGATGAACTCCTGTTGGTGCCCTGACAGTTCAGGATGGCCATAAAAATCTGCCCTGAGAAATCAGGGCATTCTTGGGAATTTTCAAAAGTTGCCCTGAGGGCTCAGGGTGCCCAAAATCCTAGCACAGGCCCTGGATGCTGGCCTCTCGGCCATATTTCTAGATAGCTCTATGGTACTACTCTTTGTACATTGATTACGATCAATATATAACCTTTACCTCAATCTGTCGCCCAATGTCGCGGTACATCGGCTGTTTGTGACGCGGCGTTAGGCAAATTTACAGACGCGACTCGGGGGAAAAACGGAATTGAGACACAAGTGGCCACACAGGAATGTACCCTAAGATAACACACAAAATTATTTGCAATACACTGACCAGGATGCGTCACACAAACGAGTATCCGGACTCCACCAAAATCAGGCAGTATGATCAGATGATGTGAGCCAGCCAGTGAGTTTCTTTCCGCTGACAGGCGATACTTCGATTCGACAGCACGATTCTTGGCGACGCGATCTCGACTGCACCATTTTTGGGAGCGTGCGCACTTTTACGCACGTTCTAGTGCCGAAATAACTTATTCTTCTGGTAACTCTTCGTTCAGCTCGTTTCGCTGCTTCGTTCTCGCTGTTCCCCACCCGACCGTCCCCAAGGCTCGCCTCCTGCACCTCTCACTGCCGCTCGCTGCGCCTCGTTGCGCTTCCCATGAGCGGCACGTCGCATCAATAATCAATCGCCACCAGTGCTCGAATCAGATCAGGACAAAGGCAGGGCTCTGGTCTAGTTGCTGAGGTCTCGCTCTCACTTGCCCTCCCCCCCGCCCCTCTCCGCCTCTCTCCGCCGCTCTCCGCCCCTTCCGCGCTTCTTTGCCCCTCTCCGACCCTCTCTTCTTCTCCCCACACCAGCCGCACACTCAACCCCCAAAATGGCGGGGTACAAGCGCACAATACCCCACTTCGAGACGGGTAATTACAAATCGCCGGGGGTGTTCCTGGCGGATGCGGAGTACGGGCGCGCGCTGGACTGCCTGGTGAAGGCGTGCGCGGACTTCTTCATCCTCGATACAGACAGCTCCGAGAATTGCAGAATACTTCTGGGGAAGCGGAAAGTGGAGCCGCAGCCCGACTGGTGGTGAGCCGTGGGGTGCGGCCTAGTGCGGTTTGAGTGGGTTCGGTGGGTCAAGGGCAGGGACCAATGGGTCAATGGGGGCAGTCGGGGAGTGGGGCAGTACGGCAGTGGGGGTGATGTGGTTGAATCTCTGAGGCACCCCATAATAATAACTGGGACCCATTTATTCCACCGATTGCATCGCCCACTCTCTCCCACAGCACTCATGTGTGCCTGGTATTCCATTGCACCCATCCACACCACACTCCTCCTCCCGCCTCTTCTACTGTCCGTTTCGCGCACCCATACGTGCCCTGTTGCCATCCCACACCCCAACCAGACCTCCCCGCATGCACCCCCATGTCTCGTGCGCCCGCACTCTTCCCGCGCCAGGAGCACGGGAGGACGCATGCGCCAGGGCCAGAGGATTCATGAGCACGCGTGTTTGGTTGCTGCTTCTGCTAGACCGGACCCCCCTTCCTCCCTTTCCCCTGCCCTCTTCCACTGCCGCACGGGTTCATAGAGAGGCGTTTGTGGCTGGGGGAGGCGTGCACTGCTCTTTCTACAAGACCAAGTTATTTTGACGCGTCTCATAAGCACTGCCACGCCGAAGCCTGTTTCCTCTCTTTTCCCCAACTGCTTGCCCAACACATGCCTCCCGAACCCTTCCCCCCCCCCTCTCCCTCCCCCGCAACTTCCCCCTGCCAGGTTCATGGGGGCCGCATGCGGCCGGGGGAGCGGCCAGAGGAGAGTGTGGTGCGGCTGCTGAGCAGAGAGCTGGGCGGATCCACCCGCCCGCCCACTGCACCCACCCACACCCCTCTCACGCGCTGCACCCCCTTCCACTGCCTCCCTCATCCCCACCTTGTTCCACCCCCCCCACCCCCTTCTCCTCACAGGTTCATGGGGGGGCGCATGCGACCAGGGGAGCGCCCAGAGGAGAGCGTGGTGCGGCTGCTGAGCAGAGAGCTGGGCGTCACGGTGGAGCCCGGTGCAGTGCGGTTCCTGGGCGTGCACTCGTACTGGTGGTATCGGCGCGTGCAGGAGCCGGTGGAGAACGGGACGTGTGACATCTGTGGCGTGTTCACTGTGGCCATTGGGGCCAAGCAAGCAGCTGCTATCAAGCTGGACGAGGAGGAATACAGTGACTCTAAGTGAGTACAGTACAGTTGATTCGATTGAAAACTGTGTATACACTTCTACATGAGCTTACAAATCGAAAGTGGTAAAGGCAGTTTGTTTGTACGCGTGTGCAGGCGGTGTGAACTGTCCACTCTGACTGCCTGTCCGTGTCTTGCCTGCTTCGCCTAGTTCCGTCCATCCTTCTCTTGAACCAGACAGGCACTACCGCCCTGGCCTCTTAACCATCTCTCGTCCCGCCTTTCCAAGCGCCCCTCCCTCCTGAGCTGGGTGGGCGTGGCGTACATCATTGCCACATCATTGCCACATCATTGCCACATCATTGCCACATCATTGCCACATCATTGCCACATCATTGCCGGGGAGCACTACCACCCCTGACTCTTCGCTTTGCATCTGCCCTCTTGTCCACCCATCCCTCCCATGCACCAGGTGGGTAGGCACAGAAGACGTGATGGAGGGCAAGCACCGCCGTCCCTCCCTGACTTTCCCTTTCTCTTGCACCCATCCCTCCCACCCATCCCTCCCATGCACAGGTGGGTGTGCATATCGGAGATCATCGACGGGGAGCACTACCACCCTGCCCTGCGCCAGTCAGCCAGGTACCGCAGTGAACCGCACTGCACTTACTCTCTCCCAACTGCCTCTGTCACTAGTGGACCCTTCTGCCTTCTCGTGCGCCTTCTAGTGGATCCCTTACAGGCCCCTCTCATGCCCCCTTTTCTGCTGGAAGCTTTTTGTGGTGCAGCTTGCAGGCCGTCCCTCCACCTTCTCTTATCTCGAGTGATAGTTTGACCTCTGTAACTGTCTGACGTCCGTGGCTGGTCGTAGGAAGAATTTCCTGTCCTTCTCAACAACAGGCCCTGAGATTGCATCCTTTTCACATGGATTTAGGTTTGCAGTGACGGGTCTGATCCTCCAGTGTGCTGCATCATTCATATGGAGGCTTCATCACAACATTCCCCACACGGCCGAACGTTGCCCCTCAACCCCACCCTCCCCTTTTCCTTCCCTCTCCTTTTTCCTCCCCTCAGAGATCTCAAGGCACGGTTTGCCTGGGAGCGCCTGGAGAGCCTCGTGAAGGGCGGTGCTGGAACAGATGCAGAGATAGCGGAAGCTGCCAGGAAGTTGGTGTCACTCAACTGAAAGGGTGTTTAAATCATGGAGTAATCAGTGGGATGGTCTTTCATGAGGGGCACTGGTTTCACATTCGTTACTAGCATACTCTATTCTTTAATTTCTGTAAGTGGACCATTCCATTTACATAGTCGATACATAAACGGTACGTCGATTCTCCATTTACCCTCACACCACTTTCGCGTGCTGTAATGTTAGCTGCTGCAGCATCAATATGTCAGCAGCAACAGTGGCTGCAGCGGCACCATTACAACCACCACTATCCGACCCAAGAGAGTTACAGCAGCAGCCGAGGAACTAGATAAAGACTGGAGGGCATTTTAAATGGGTGAATAGCGTCTCAATGAACATATTGCGAATTGAAGTCAGCTGGATTTGCACCTATTCATTAGAGGTTAAATGGATTCAACACATGCTAACTGATTCCATGTACCAAGGATTTGGAGTAGCTGATGTAAGAGAGTGGGGGTTACTACTGTTTTTAGTCGTACAGACGTGTAGGGAAGACTACTTGATAGTTAGATTCTTGGTATTCGTATTCACTATAACGCAAATATTCTTGGAAGTGTGGTAGTGGCTCGAAGCCAACCAGCCCGACGGGTATGTATGTCACTCGCAATTAAAAAAGCGGGTATCACTGTGTTGTTTCAGGCTCGCTCTCGTCCGGTCTTAGGACCTCCTTCCAAAACCGATGATTCTATTGGCACAGCCAAGTTCAGGAAGATCTTACTTTTCAACGCCAGCTTCTTCGAGTTTGCAACACGATTCGCTGGCATGATCTGCCTGAAAAGCTGGCTGAAAGTGGTGAATGTACACACCTTTTTGAGAGGGCATGCTTCTCAACGCCAAGCGGCTGCTGGCGTCATCGAGACGATTTTGGCAAGTTCCAGGTCCCGAGCCAACGGAAATTTCAAGGCATTGACCAGTTTGGCAGCATGACGTCATGGATATTCGCGAATCGCTGTGGGGCAACTACGTCGCAGCTTCAAGGCCACAGCCTGCTGACACCACCTCCACCGCTAAGGAAACGCCACGTCGGATGCCTTTCTCGCTTTCCGCAAATCCGCGAACCCAGGTTACGTTGGCATTCGTGGCTCTGCTTCACTCGCTCTCCCCCGCAATACAAGACCACTGCCAAGTTGCCCCCTATCTCTCATTTTTGACATCACAACCAACATCGAGTTTCCGAAACCACACGTAACGAGGGATTCCCACCCCTCGCACTGCGATATCGCTAGTCTCTCCATACGACGGTTTCGTGCTTCTTGATAGGCCCATCCGATCATTCGCCACAATACGAAAGTTGGTTACAAGCAGGCAGCTATCTCTTCGACAATCCCATCTGCTTCCTGCGAAGCGCACTTATTCGCTCCCTGTGGCCATCACAGCTTCAAGCTCCTGCTCAAGCCAACTCCACTTTCTTGAAAGTTTTGAGGCTTCCCTAAGGAACCCTCTGCGATTGACGGCCGCAACTTCTCCTGCTATCCCCTGTGACAGCAGTCGCCATGCCGGGCGACATTCCTGTCGGTGCGTTTCCGCGTGCATTGCTACCAGCCGTCGTGTGTGTTGCATGATTGCGAAGCCTTCGAAGTTACATTCTGTGAGAGGTTTAGTGCACGCTAACATATAATCTTATATTTCCCGTTTTGAGCTCCCTTACTGGAATAATTGTGCTAATTCTCGTCTCCTTTATGATTTTTCCTCGCATTTATCGCAGGCAAACACGATCCTGCGGCGGCGGACCCCGCGGCATGGGCGCAGCTGCAGCAGCTGCCCCCGGCCGACCGCCTGCACACGGGGGTGCTCCCCAAGGGCGGAAGCACGCTGGGCGCGGGGGCGCTGGCGGACGGCGGAAAGGAGGGGGAGGCGGAGCTGGCGCAAGTGGACCTGCGCGCGCTGAGCCACGCACAGCGGGAGCGGCTGGTGGAGCGCGCGCTGGAGACGCTGGATCAGGACAACGAGGCGTTCCTCACGAAGCTTAAAGCCCGCCTCGACCGGTGAGGTTTTGTTAAGAAACCGCTGGAAGATCGTGGGAAGCGCACGCGTTGGAGCCACAAAGTCAGACAGTGGATCGATGGCTTGGAAATCCTTGAGCCGTGTCGCATTGCGTATGCCTCTCCAAAGGGTAATCGCGGATTGGACGCGGAGGCGAAATTCGTTGGTGGGTTGCGAGTGAGACAGTAAAAGAAGTGAGATTGCGCGGATGTTACCAGTTAATGGGAAGTACGGGAAAAGAACACGACAAGAAGTACTGGACTGGGCTCAAAGCTCCGTGCGGATTCCAACCTGCCCTCCCTTCTTTTCCCCTCTTATCCCTTTCAATGAACCGCGCCGCGGAATGTTATCCAATGGCGTGCAGCGTGGGGCTGAGCGTGCCGTCGGTGGAGGTGCGCTTCGAGGACGTGAACGTCGAGGCGGGCGTGTACGTCGGCACGCGCGCGCTGCCCACGCTCCTCAACTTCACGCGCAACTCGCTCGCCGTGAGTCGAACTCGCTCGCCGTGAGTTGCGCCCTTGACGCGAGTCTGCCGCAATTTCCCGCCGCGACACTCGCTTTTCGCGACTGCGTGCGTGCCTCCGCGTTTCACTCTCTGAACTCATCGTACCGCGGACTTTACTCAGAAGTTACCGCCTTTCTTCCCGCCCCCCCTGCCTGCCGCACCCATTTGCCTCCCATGCGCGCGCGCGTGTCCCCCGGTTCAGGCGGCGCTGCGGTCGCTGCGCTTGGTGCCGGACTCGCGCCGTCCGTATCCGATCCTGCACGGGTGCTCGGGCGTGCTGCGGCCGGGCCGCATGTCGCTGCTGCTGGGGCCGCCAGGCGCCGGCAAGTCCACTCTCATGCAAGTGCTCGCGGGCTGCCCCGATAAGTCGATCAAGGTGGGTGGGCTTGTAGCAGGGACAAGGTGATGAGGCCTGTAGCAGGGGCCTCAAGTGGCGCCGCGCCGGCAAGTCAATGCTCATGCAGGCGCTCGCGGGCTGTCCCGACAAGTCGCACAAGGTGGGTGGGGCTTGTAACATGTGGCCACCGCTGACAGTGACAATGTGGTTCAAGAAAATATCTTAAGGGGTCGTTTTTCAGCCATTATCAACCTCGTTAGTTAGTCTGTGGGCGTGAAGGCCGCTCACAGGCCTAAAGGCACTGTGCGCTGCTCCTTTTCTCACCTTCTCCCCTTTCCCACTACTCTCCTTCTGTTTCCTCCCTTTCTCCAATTTCCATGCAGGTATCGGGCAGCGTGACCTATAACGGGCATGCTCTTAGCGAGTTCGTACCAGAGCGCACAGTAGTGTACGTGCCGCAGAACGACGAGCACATCGGCGAAATGACCGTCCGGGAGACTCTTGACTTCTCCGCGCGCCTGCAGGGCCCGGGGCTCCGCAAAGGTGGGTTGATTTGGGGTAGAGAATTGTGCTGTTAGGAAAGTGGGTGCCTGTTTGCCTGCAGGGCCCCGGGCTTAGGAAAGGTGCGTGTGTGCGCCTGTTGGGGGGGGTGTGAGGGCTGGGCATTTGGAAAGATGCATGATTGCACGTGTGGGGGGTTTTGAGGTTTTTAAAGCAGGTGTTCGGGCGTGCCTGTAGGTTCGCCCATTTTCAAGTTCTGGTGGGATTCTCTCACCTCTTCCTCCCTGTCCCCCTCGCTACACTTTTCGACTTCCCCCCCACTTACTTTCCGCCATTCCTCCCTTCCCCCATATCGCCCTTCCCCTTCTTCCCCCCTGGCCCCACCCCTGCACCCTTGGTGGCGCAGACCTAGTGGCGGAGCTGGAAAAGCGAGAGGCGGAGCAGGGCATCGTGCCGGACCCCACCATGGACGCCATTATGAAGGTATGTGGGCAGGAGTCGGACTTAAGCTAGGTCCGGGCTTCAAGGTTTTGCCTGGCATCCCCTGTGTCGTTCTGAGAAGAATGATTGTCTTTGCGGTTTTTTTTTTTTTTGGGAGATTTGCTCGGGTGGTCTGCCTTTGCATGTTCCGTGTTCCCTGGTTCTTTTCTTCCCTCTCCATCTACAGTGGTATCCATCCATCGATCTTAGGTTGGCTACTCACTTTTGGTGCTACACACTCTCTCACTCCTCCCCATCCCCCTCGTCGTCACACATTCAGGCGATGGCGCTGGAGGGCAATCCCACCAACGTCATCACGGATTATGTGCTCAAGGTGAGGCGGTGAGGTGAGGAGGGTGGTGTGACGAGACTAAGACTATGTGCTCAAAATGAGGCGGAGTGTGATGATGGTGAGCTGAGATGAACGCTGCAGGTGAGCCTGCGATGGCCATGAGCCGCGAGATTCCTTGCGTCGGGAACCTAGGCAAGTTGAGTTGTCTATCTCCAAGAAATGCTAATTGCGCCGCGACCTGAAGAGAAAGAGCGCTCAATGTGGTGCTGCATACTCAAGTGACATGCATCTTTCACCCTTCTCCACTTCTCACCCTCCCCTCCCCGTGTGTCAGATCCTCGGTCTGGACATCTGTGCAGACACAGTGGTGGGAAACGAGATGCTGCGCGGCATCTCAGGCGGGCAGAAGAAGCGCGTGACAACAGGCGTGTCCCTGGTGGGCCCGAAGCAAGTGCTGCTGATGGACGAGATCAGCACGGGGCTGGACTCGTCCACCACGTTCCTCATCACGCGCTGCCTGCGCCACCTCACGCACCTGCACTCCGCCACCACGCTCGTCGCCCTCCTGCAGCCCGCCCCCGAGACCTACGAGCTCTTCGACGACGTGCTGTTGCTCTCAGAAGGCCACGTGGTGTTCCACGGGCCGAGAGAACAGGTGGTGCCGTTTTTCAACCAGCTGGGGTTTGAGTGCCCCGAGAGGAAGGGCGAGGCGGATTTCCTGCAGGAGGTGACGTCCATGAAGGACCAGGGGCAGTACTGGAAGGGGGGAGCGGGTGGGGTGGGCGGGGGCGGTCAGCCGTACCACTATGTGCCGGCTCAGGCGTTTGAGGCAGCGTTCAAGGAGACGCAGATTGGCAAGGCCACTGCTGCCCTCCTCTCGGTACGTGCTGTGTTCTTTGTCGTCTTGTTCTGGTCCCTACGTCGCACGGTTGACCCTTAATCCCACACTCTCCCCACTCTTCCTGCCCTTCCCGCTCTTACAATGTTTCGACCCTCAACCCGCATTCCCATCTTTCTCCCCCCACCACCTCCCCCACCAGGTGCCCTACCCCAAGGAAAAGAGCCCCCCCGGCGCGCTGGCCCACAAGCGCAACGCCCTGCCCACCTCGGAGATGTTCCGCGCCGTCTTCGAGCGCGAGTTCCTGCTCATGAAGCGCAACGCCTTCCTCTACGTTGCTCAGACCATCCAGATCATCCTCATCGCTCTCGTCACCATGACCGTCTTCTTCCGCACCACGCTCGACATCTCCCTGCAAGACGGCAACTACTACCTGGGAGCCATGTTCTTCGGCCTCATCATGATGCTCTTCAACGGCTTCACGGAGCTCACGCTGCTTGTCATGCGCCTGCCGATATTCTACCGCCAGAGGGACGCGTTTCTGTACCCGGCGTGGGCGTGGGAGGTGCCTATGGAGCTGCTCTCGCTGCCTTTTTCTGCCTGGGCGTCTATTATCTGGACGGCCGTCACCTACTATGTCATTGGCTTTGCACCGGAACCGGGCAGGTAGGCAAACTTTTCGCATGCGTGACTGCCGTTCCGCTCTCCTTCCTCATCCACCATTGTTGCTCGTGTTCCCCCCCCCCCACAGGTTCTTCATGCATATGCGCCTCATGCAACTAACTTACCACTCTCCTTCTTTCTCTTCCGTCCCCTCCTCTCTCCCCCCCCCCCCCACAGGTTCTTCATGCAGATGTTTTGTCTTCCTTATCCATCAGGTCTCCATCTCCCTCTTCCATCTCAGTATGCAACGTCCCTCTCTCCTTCCTTCCCCTTACCCCTCCCCACCACCCCCCTTGCCCTCCCCCCACAGGTTCTTCATGCAGATGTTTCTCTTCTTCCTCATCCACCAGGTCGCCATGTCCCTCTTTCGCCTCATAGGAGCGTTGGGGCGCAGCATGGTGGTGGCCAACACCTTTGGCTCATTCGCCCTCATCATCCTCTTCCTGCTTGGTGGCTTCGTGCTCGCTAAAGGTGGGTGAAACGCGCTTATAACGCGTATCTAGGGAGTGCAAACAGCGCTGGGGCGCAGCATGGTGGTGGCCAACACCTTCGGCTCCTTTGCCCTCATCATCCTCTTCCTGCTTGGCGGCTTCGTGCTCGCTAAAGGTGAGTGAGCTTATAACAAGAAGGGGAGCGGCTTCGGTACAATGTGTATGTGGTACCAATACCACATGCTTTGAAAGCTCGTAGCGTCTTCCCATCCCCCTCCGATCACCTCCCATCTCCGCTCATATTCTCTCTCTTCCTCCCATGCAATTCTCCACTCGTTTGACATCCGTGGCACCCTGCCCTACCCCCACCACCATCCTCCCTTTTCTCTTGCACGCACCTGCAGGCGACATTCACAACGTGTGGATCTGGGCGTATTGGATCTCACCCCTCATGTACGGCCAGAACGCCCTCGCTGTCAACGAGTTCCTCGCCCCCCGCTGGAATGTGGTGCGTGCCTCTCTGCCCTCTGCCCTTTGCCCTCTGCCCTCTGCCCTCTGCTCCCTGCTCTCTGCTGTCTGGATGCAATACCCAACCTAAATCTCAGCCACCCTGAACAAAGATTCATGCACACAACTGTTGGCATGCGTTCAGGTCTTCCTCTCTTTCCTGCGCCTTTTATTTTCTCTTTCTTGTGTGCTTGTGAAGTCTGCAGTCTGCAGGCCCGCTCCTTCCCCCCACGGCCACCATGGGCCAGGTGCTGCTGGAGAGCCGCTCATGCATCCCATCTCCCCCCCATCCTTTCTCTCCCCCCCCCCCCCCCCCCCCCCCCCCCCCCCGGCTTCCCACATGTGTGCCATTCTGCAGTCCGCAGGGCCACTCTTCCCCCCCACGGCCACCATGGGGCAGGTGCTGCTGGAGAGCCGCTCGCTGCCGTTGAACGAGAATTGGCGCGGCATTGGCGCGGCGGCGCTCATCGGATTCATCATCCTCTTCAATCTCCTCACCATCCTCGCCCTTGCCTACCTCGATCGTAAGCTTTCAGCTCTCGCTCTCCCCTTCTCTGCTGTCCCATCGCCTTCATCATCCTGTTCAACCTCCTCACCATCCTCGCCCTTGCTTACCTCGATCGTAAGCCTTCAACCCCTTGATCGCCTCATTGCCTTCATAATTCTCTTCAACCTCCTCACCATCCTCGCCCTTGCCTATGTCGATTGTAAGTTTTGAAGTCTGAATCCCTTGCTCTCCGATGCCGTCCTCACCTGCCGCTTCGCCGCCATCGTCCTTTTCAACCTCCTCACCGGCTCCATCGTTATCTTCCCTGTCTTTTATTCCTCATTCCCTGCTGTGCTGACTCAATGCCTTCATCCTCCTCTTCAACTGCGCACCAGCACCAGTCTTGGCCCTCCTGTCACTGCACCCGCATGGCACAAGCAGCAGGTCAGGGTGTCATGCAATGTCAGTGGTACACCAAAGCACTGCCTCACTTGGACCCCTGGCCTGTCTGTTTCTCTTTCTCTTCCCCCCTCCGACTGTTCATCGGCGCAGCGTGGGCGCGTCCCCAGCCGGTGGTGTTGGAGGAGCAAGAAGCAGGTCAGGGTGTCCTGCCTGTGCTACACCAAAGCACTGCCTCACTTGCACTCCTTGCCTCTCTGTTGCTCCCTCCCCCCGCTCCAACTGTGCATCGGTGCAGCGTGGGCGCGTCCCCAGCCGGTGGTGTCGGAGGAGCAGCTGGAGACAAAGCATGCTGCCCGCACGGGCGAGGTGCTGGGCTTGGCGGGCGGCAGCAGGAAGAGGTCAACGCGGCAGGGCAAGGGCAAGAGCAGCGCTCTCGACCGCTACTGCACCAGCCACACTACCTCCAGAGGTGAGCGGTTGAGAAATGTTCAGAGGTGTTGTAAGGTGGCACTGTGGCAGGGCAGGGGCATGACCAGCGCTCTCGACCGCTACTGCACCAGTCACACTACCTCCAGAGGTGAGCGGTTGGGATGGGGCAGAGAAAGGACCAGGCCACCAGCAGAGCTGTTGACCGCCTCTGCAGTGCGCCGCATGGTGAGCCGCATGGTGCGCCGCATGGTGCGCCGCATGGTGAGCCAAATCATGGACACTTGTCGGGTCTCTCCTTTGCTCCGCACTGCCGTTCCTGGTTCATCTCTCTGATTCCTGTCCACTACCAACCCAACGCCTCCCCTCGTCTCTTCTCCTCTTCCCATCCCACTCCTTGCCCCCTTCTACCAGACGTTGAGTCACAGCCTCAGTCAGCAGAGGGAAAGCACGGCATGGTTCTCCCTTTCGAGCCGCACTCGCTCTCCTTCCACAACGTCAACTACTTCGTCGACATGCCCGCTGAGATGCGCGCTGAGGGCGCCCCCCCCGACGCGCGCCTGCAGCTGCTGCGCAACGTCTCCGGCGCGTTCCGGCCGAAAGTGCTGACGGCGCTGGTGGGCGTGTCGGGCGCCGGCAAGACCACGCTCATGGACGTGCTGGCAGGCAGGAAGACCGGGGGTACATTGAGGGGGACGTGCGCGTGTCGGGCTTCCCCAAGGTGCACGAGACGTTTGCACGCGTGGCGGGGTATTGCGAGCAGAGCGACATTCACACGCCGCAGGTGACGGTGCACGAGAGCCTGCTCTTCTCCGCGTGGCTGCGCCTGCCGGGTGATGTGGACAAGGAGGTGCGGGAGGAGTTTGTGGAGGAGGTGATGGAGCTGGTGGAGCTGGACGGACTCAGGGACGCCATGGTGGGGCTGCCGGGGGTGAATGGGCTGTCCACGGAGCAGAGGAAGCGCCTCACCATCGCCGTCGAGCTCGTGGCCAACCCGTCAATTATCTTCTTGGATGAGCCGACGAGCGGGCTGGATGCACGGGCGGCGGCCATTGTGATGCGCACCGTGCGCAACACCGTCGACACGGGGCGGACTGTCGTGTGCACCATCCACCAGCCCAGCATCGACATCTTTGAAGCCTTTGATGAGGTCAGTGCGATGGCTTTTGAAATGCGCTCTCCAGCTCGCCTCTCCCTTTCTCGTGTCTCATTTTTCCTGCTTTCTTCCTCCCTCTCATTTCTCTGCCCGTCTCCTTACCCTCTCTTCTCCATTGCTCCCGCATCCCCCCACCCCTTCCACCTCACAGCTGCTGCTGATGAAGCGGGGAGGCGAGGTGATATACATGGGTCCGCTGGGCGTGGACTCGCGGCTGATGATCGACTACTTCCAGGCCATCCCAGGCGTGCCGCCCATCCCCGCCGGCTACAACCCAGCCACGTGGATGCTCGACATCTCCACGCCCGCCATGGCCGACAAACTCAACGTCGACTTCGCCGAAATCTTCCGCCAGTCCGACCAGTTCCGCCGCAACGAGGCGCTCATCGAGTCGCTCAAGACGCCCCCGCCGGGCCAGCAGGACCTCGCCTTCGCGACCAAATTCTCCACCAGCTACCCCACGCAGTTCGTGGCTAATCTGTGGAAGCGGTCGCGCATGTACTGGCGGGCGCCGGACTACAATGCTGTCCGCTACTTCTTCTGTGCCATCATGGCTCTGCTGGTCGGTGGCGTGTTCTTCGGGCTGGGCAAGCAGCGCAGCACGCAGCAGCAGCTGCTCAACGTCATGGGAGCCATGTACACGGCGTCGCTCTTCATGGGGTGGAACAATGCTGCTTCAGTCCAGCCCATCGTTGCCATCGAGCGCACCGTCTTCTACCGCGAGCGCGCCGCCGGGTTATACGGCGCCGTGCCGTATGCCCTGGCACAGGGGGCGATTGAAATCCCATATGTGTTGGTGCAGACTTTCATCTACTCGCTCATCACGTATGCGATGATCCAGTTTGAGTGGACGGCCGGCAAGTTCTGGTGGTACACGCTCTTCATGTTCCTCACGCTCTTCTACTTCACGTGCTACGGGCTCATGGCCATCGCCATCTCGCCCAACGAGCAGCTTGCGATGGTCATCTCGGGATTCTTCTTCTCCTTCTGGAACCTTCTCTGCGGTTTCCTCATCACCCGACCTGTGAGTTGCCGCTGCTGCGCTGTGTAACATTGCCTTTCACTGTGCTTCGTCGTTCCCTGCTATCTTTTCCTGTTGTGTCTTGCCTGCCATGTTTTGGCTGCTACACCTTTTCAGTACTGTTGCTACCCTGCCCGGTCCTTTTCAAGAGCCAAGTTCACTCAATCACTTATTCCCTCTGCTCCTGCTTGCCTGTGCTGCAGCAAATTCCGGTGTGGTGGCGGTGGTTCTACTGGATCAACCCTGTCTCCTGGACGCTCTATGGCCTCAACGCCTCTCAGGTAATAACCCTCGCCCACATGCTGCACACATGCACTTGTTGCTCATTCTTGTTCCTGTTTTTTGGTGTCCTGCTGCTCATGCTGCTCCTACTGCTCACCACACTCATTTACCCCGCATGTGCAATCCCTGCGCTCTCTTCTGCTCACCTGCACTTCCCTCTTCCACTGTCCACACACACAACCTTCCTTGGGTTGGGTCGCCCCTCCATAGCACCAGCTATGCTCTCCATTCAGAAGCTGCTGCATGCTTGTTCCTTCTGTCAGCCCCAACACACCCTCATTGACTCCCTTCTTTCCATACCTCCCTACCTCTCCCTCTCCTGACTTCTTATGAATGCAGCTGGGAGATGTGACGACGACGCTGCAGGTGCCGGGGGTGTCCCCGGATCCAACGGTGCAGGTGTATCTGGAGGAGGTCTTTGGCTACCAGCACTCGTGGCTCGGCTACGTCGTGCTCGTCAACATCGGATTCATCATCCTCTTTTTTACCGTCTTCGCTTACGCACTCAAGAAGCTCAACTTCCAAAACCGTTGACCTGCCTTGTATGAATATTGATGATGTGGGCTGTGAATGGGAGCTGATTCGGTCCGTACGTTAGGCTAATAATTTTATACCCTTGTGCTGTGTGGAACAGACGGGCACAAGATTTCCCTTTCATTAGCTTGTTACAACTACTCTACTATGAGATTGCATGTTTGAATTTCAATCTACGATGATCTGCTATAGCCCACCTGGTAGTCACAGCCTTATACGAATTATGTGAACCTAGAGTCATTTTGCAAGGATGTAGTGGATGGAATGACATGTAGAGCGGAAAAATGAAGAGTAACTTGTAAAAACCTGTCTCCAAGTTAGTTTATGAAGCTGGGCGTAGCTGTTTAGCTACAGTCTATTGTACATAGGTTGTAATGCATGGATATGTCTGTTGCCCCTTCGCTAGGGGATGCTTCACGAGATCCTTCCGAAGTGTGTTCGGTATTTCCATTCCATCCAAGCCCTCCAGGCACCAGTCAGCCCGCCATTTCGCCTTCACCTTCCTTTTCCGACAGTCGAATCTACCACCAAATCGACCTTCCCCAGGCCCTCTGTCGGTCGCTATTACTGGCTAAGGGGTAGCTTCGCAGGCGACTTCCTTCCGCCGCTGTTTTTACTGCCGCTAGTCGCTCTCCCCTTTCGCCTGAAGCGTTGTTGTTTGCGTGACCATTCTCGTCCCGAACCGCATGCGCCTCGAGCGCAACGAGTCTGGGCGAATCCGTCTCGTCTCCTCTCCTGCTCACACCTCCGCGGTCCGAGGGCAAAGCGCGCCCTTGAGCGCATGCCTACAAAAGCCATGACGGATTTGGGATCAGCAGATATGGTTTCAAGCAAAACAGAGCTTTCAATCGCTTCAAATTGCCCAAGCTTCTTTTTCGTACTCAATCATTCGAGTTTCTCGGTGTTCCTTATACCGCTCGAACCGACGTGAACAGCCATGGCATCGAAGAACATCCTCGTTATAGCCGTCCTCGCAATGCTCCTCGTGGGCCTCGCGGTTGCCGACAATCAGGATCGCAAGCGGGACGGCACGGGAAACCAGGACCCGCGACAGGAAGCGCGACGGCTCGTGCGCCAAATCCGGCACGTGCAGTGGCAACAAGAACGGCGGCAATCCCGGTGGTCGCGGCGGCAATGGCGCTGGGAGGAATTCGGGGAAGAAAGGAACGGGGACTTGCAATAAGAGCGGCACTGCGAGTTGCGACGGCAGCGGGCGGAAGAACGCGGTGATGGCGAGCGCGAATGCCGTGGCGGCTGCTGACGTGGCGGCTGCTGACGTGGACCTGCAGGCGTGTGACGGGGCGAAGCAGGCGGGGAAGCTGATGAGCGGATTGCGGAAGAGCGGATTCAACAAGTTCGCCGCGGCGCTGCAGCAGACAGGTGCGCTGCAGCAGACAGGTGCGCTGCAGCAGACAGGTGCGCTGCGCTGTGCGCCGCTGCTGGCGCTGCCTCTGTCCTGCCGCTATTGCCGTACCTCTCCGTCTCCCTCTCCCTCTCCTTCTCCCTCTCCCTATGTCATCAGCCATCTCACCTGTCACCTCACCTGTCATTTCACCTGTCATTTCACCTGCCCTCTCACCGGCCATCTCCATGTGCCCCATGCCTCACACCATGCCCCGCCAGGTCTAACCGCGGAGTTTCCAGACGTGATGTGTGCCCAAGGGGGCGGAGTGACGCTGCTGGCCATCCCACCTCTCCCCAACTGCTCCGCAACCCCCATCTACCCACCCTGGCAGGTTTGGCCGCGGAGTTCCCAGACGTGATGTGTGCGGGCGGGGTGACGCTGCTGGCCATCCCCGATGCGCCCATGGGGCAGCTGCCTCCTTCAGTGCGAGGGGATGCGCTGATGCTCCGGGAGCAGCTCATGCTGCACGTCGTCAAGGGCGCCCGCCCCTACAGCCGCATGCAGGCCCGCGCCAAGAACTACAAGGTGGGAACAAGCATTCCATGCACAATCACAACCACTTCTTTTCTTTCTTTTTCTTCTGGCAAGCATCCCTATGGTTCTTTCCTCTGCATGTATCTCCCGATGTGATGCCCGACCCTCTCCCTGCATCCACGCCTCGCCCTCTCTCTCTCCCGCACCCTTCGCCCTCCCTCTCTCCCTCATTCCTCTCACTCTCCCCAATCCTTCTTTTCGCGGAACCCCTCTCCCTCACAGTTCGCCTGTGCTGCGGGGGCAGGCTCAGGCCGGCTGGTGAAGCAGAGTCAGGGCGACGCCCCCCTGGTGCTGCGAGTGGGCAGGGGGTGGGGGCAGGCAGCAGCAGTGACGCGCCCCGATGCCTTCCAGTGCACGGGGGGGCGGTGCACGGAGTGAACTGCGCGCTGGGCTTGGGGCGCATGGGCAGGCCCGGCAGGCGCGTGCCTCTGGGGCAGTGCCTGCGCAACGGCAGGGATGAGGATGACTAGGACGAGGGGGATGGGTGTGTGTGGGAGAACAGGGGATGAGGCTAGAGGAGTGAGCGGAGGGGTGAGGGGGGTAGTAGCTGGATAGAGTAGGAGTGTCGGGCGCATGAGAGTGTGCATTGCATCGCATGTTTCTCAGGCAAGGGGGGGCCTGCATTGAAGCTAGAGGATGTGTTACATAGGGCTTGGAACGGCAGGAAGCGCAAGGGATCATGTTTCAGTGCCTGCTTGCTACTCTAAGCCCTGTGAAACAGAGCTGCGGTTGGATTGTTTTTAGTGTGTAAATTTCTGTGTGCTTTGTTTTTCCATGTGCTTTTTCACAAGGATTGTCCAAAGAGTAGAGAGAAACATGTACATTCTTAGTCATCAATACAGGTCGTGCAGAGAAAGCCGGTATACAACCAGGACACCATATTAGTCATTAATACAGTGGACGCACGCAAGGTTATGTTTTGGCAACTCAAGAAAACCCAAGTTACAAAAGAAGTGGGAAAAACAAAACAAAACAACACGAACAAACCATCTACGTACAAGACACACTTCAAATAAATGCAACATTAGCGGTTTTGGAAGTTGAGCTTCTTGAGTGCGTAAGCGAAGACGGTAAAAAAGAGGATGATGAATCCGATGTTGACGAGCACGACGTAGCCGAGCCACGAGTGCTGGTAGCCAAAGACCTCCTCCAGATACACCTGCACCGTTGGGTCCGGGGACACCCCCGGCACCTGCAGCGTCGTCGTCACATCTCCCAGCTGTTGTTGGAAGGTGTAGCGGGAGGAGAGGGAAGGGCAAAGGGAGGGGGGAAGACAGGAGAGAGGGAAGACAGGAGAGAGGGAAGACAGGAGAGAGGGAAGACAGGAGAGAGGGAAGACAGGAGAGAGGGAAGACAGGAGAGAGGGAAGACAGGAGAGAGGGAAGACAGGAGAGAGGGAAGACAGGAGAGAGGGAAGACAGGAGAGAGGGAAGACAGGAGAGAGGGAAGACAGGAGAGAGGGAAGACAGGAGAGAGGGAAGACAGGAGAGAGGGAAGACAGGAGAGAGGGAAGACAGGAGAGAGGGAAGACAGGAGAGAGGGAAGACAGGAGAGAGGGAAGACAGGAGAGAGGGAAGACAGGAGAGAGGGAAGACAGGAGAGAGGGAAGACAGGAGAGAGGGAAGACAGGAGAGAGGGAAGACAGGAGAGAGGGAAGACAGGAGAGAGGGAAGACAGGAGAGAGGGAAGACAGGAGAGAGGGAAGACAGGAGAGAGGGAAGACAGGAGAGAGGGAAGACAGGAGAGAGGGAAGACAGGAGAGAGGGAAGACAGGAGAGAGGGAAGACAGGAGAGAGGGAAGACAGGAGAGAGGGAAGACAGGAGAGAGGGAAGACAGGAGAGAGGGAAGACAGGAGAGAGGGAAGACAGGAGAGAGGGAAGACAGGAGAGAGGGAAGACAGGAGAGAGGGAAGACAGGAGAGAGGGAAGACAGGAGAGAGGGAAGACAGGAGAGAGGGAAGACAGGAGAGAGGGAAGACAGGAGAGAGGGAAGACAGGAGAGAGGGAAGACAGGAGAGAGGGAAGACAGGAGAGAGG